ACAATACATTAATTTATAAGATGTCCTAGTTAGAACACCAACTAACATCCTTCAAACAACATCGAAATAAGCTAAACATAAGAGTTTACATTGTCAAAAGTTAACATGTAATGATTCTGTTGGAATAATAAGAAATTGTTTGGTTTCGATTTGATTTGATTGTGGTAGTATATCTAAGGCTATATCACCACTGATCACATCAGCGCTAATTCCGCACTAAAGATTCTCTCTTTGTCAGTGTTGAAATGCTTTTTAATTCAGTTAAACATTTTCTATACTGCTTGGCCGATCATTTTATTTGCTTAAGGTTCAGTTCATCATGAAATGCGCATCGTCAGAGAAATAATGATGCCAAAATGGTGCGAAAATGGTGTTTGGCTTCAATGCATTCGAGTGAGATGTATTTCTGCAAAGCAGGAAGTAATTCTTTCCATCCCTCTTATCAAAATTACAGATGATTTTATTTAACATAGTTGATCTTGTATATCCCATGCCTTTACAAAACATAAAACTATAATTTGGACGACAAAACAAGTATATTAAACTACAATAGAGTTCAGATTATATTAAATTATTCATATGCTGACTGGTTGAGGATATTTATAATCCTTCTAAATTTTTTTAATGTGTACATTACATGTTCATACATATGTACATGAAGTTACATTTAGTAAGTACCTAAAGGAAAATATCACTTTAATTATAAGAAAACGAATATCATCAAAAACTTTATTTCAATAATTTACAAGGAATTACCAAAATGCGGTATATCATTTATAAAAACATTTTGCGTATCATTTCTTTTTAATATATTAAATATTATTATACTATAAGTAACAAATTGTCGCCACTTTTCGCATAAAATAAAACATTATTATTTTTTAAGTGGGATGCTTCAATAACCATGCAATATTTTTATAAAGCATATTGAGAAAAGTTTTTCAGAATCGCTATTCTTATCTGCTTATCCATAGTATGTTATAAGCTCTACACAAATCATGTCAAGATGTCAACTTCATTCAAGTTTCTGTAATCATCGAAAACATCAGCTTATTAATATGCATATAGATACATACTTCTGTAACCATATCTTCAAACAGCAAGAAATCTAAAATTCTCTTTAATTTTTCTTACATTTTCAAGGCATTTATATTAATTCTCCTTATTAGAATGTCAAAAATCATAAAGGTCACTTGCACTGTTTGTTGATATGATTTTATTTCAGTCTGATAATTAATTTTATATATCATATCAAGTATTCTAATCAAGATTGCTGACGGAGGTATGTTTTGTTTTGTACAAAGTAATTAAAAAAAGAACTTTTTCGATTGGAGAAATATTACGAGTATAGATTTTATAATTCTTAACACTAAAACTATTTATTATTTATACAACTGATTCAATGAATTTGTCTACGAAATTATTAATTATTTAGTTTTTAAATTCTTATAATTAGGACAATTGAAATATTTAAGTGTATCAGCCTATAAAAACAATATCCCATCATGACAAGTTGAAATAACTTACTGTCCTCAAGTCCAAACGTCTCTTCTTGCTTTATCATACTTTAATATAATATGATAATATATTGTAGATAACTGCGACTACTACTGAATTAGATAAAGCTGAATTTTCTTAGATTTATCTCTTCATCTAATAATAACTTTGATTATTTGTAGACATTGAAATATTCAGAAACAACAATTTCGACACATACTATTTTGGTGAATATATTTTTATGTACCACATTTACTTGGAGATATCGCACAGTATAATTTAGTGGAAGGTGTGGTCCTTTCAATACCGTCCCCTTAACGAATAAGATTGTTATTTGCTTAGATGTGATGTCGAAATCCGAAATAATGAAATAGAGTAAAGTATGTAACAAATTTTTCAATAAAAAACAAATATTACACACACATATCTGCTTGTAATTCCAACAAATAAAAATGTGTAACAAATTATAAAGACTGTCTCTCCGAATATGTCATCGTAAGATTTGAGAGTTATTTCTACTCATATATGACAAGTCATACTTTCATTTTTCAACATTACTTGACACAAACACATTGAATTATGTAGAACTCTACAGGAGAAGTGCGGAACTTATGTAGAGGCTTAAAGAACCAATATCTTCAATGGTTTTGGTTACCAACTTATCTCTCTAGTTGATAATTAATTTAAAATTTAATTAACTAAATATCTTTAAATAATTGTATATGCTTTCATTAGGATAAGTAACGCCCCACTAACAAATCAATTATTTTATGAAAATATTTTTTAATGAATATGATTAATATATCACGTTTAACAATTCTCATTTTATAGCCGCACTAGTATTTATGTCAGGAGGAATGCAGATGGCGAATAGTTTCTACCACATCGACGACCACTTCCGTGTCTCTTGGTTTATAGGTGCGATTATTGGAACGGTATTTGGTGCCATTAACCGTAATTTTATTAACAAGAAAATATATGTAAGTTTAATTCTTATAGATTCCATCATAAGTTTTAATAAAATAAAAAATATTAAGTCAAACTTCTCTTAATCACTGCGCACTAAATTTGAACAACGTCCCAAAATAAACAATGCAACAGATATATGTAATCTATTTAAAAACGCAAAACAATCCATTTTAAAAGCAGCTATTGAGGTGCTAAGAAAAGAATAAAGAAATAATAGAGAATAGCTAAGCGCATTATTCTGGCATTTAGTTGAAACCAGAAAGACAAAAAAAGAGATGCTACTGATTAAAAAAAACCTAAGAAGTTTATATATAGTTATATTCTATAACTATGAAGGAGGAGCAATTAAAGATGTTGCGCGACCATTTCAACAAGACTTTTAATGTGTTAACAACTAATAACGATATGCCGCAAATTGGTCAACCAAGGCGACCATTACGCAATATATGTAATAAATGTCCAACTAAACAAGAAATCGCATCAGCAATACGTTCATTAAAAATAGAAAATCTGCTGGCATCGACAATATTCCAGCTAAATGTTTGAAAGCTGATGTCGATTGCACAACTGATGTGCTACATTCTCTCTTTGGAGATATTTGGAACAATAAAGAAATCGTTTTAGTGGGGAAAGAATCGATAATAGCAGAAATACTAAAACAGGGTAACCTCTCTGACAGGAGAGGAATAGAACTTGTCCCGGCTGTGAGCAAGGTTTTAACCAAAGTAATACTAAATCGCATTTTAGATTCAATTATTACATAACTTTGCAAATAACAATCGGCTTTCCGGCTAAATCGCTCATTGACAACATAAATAGTATGCGAATCATTATTGAACATTGAATTCAACAGCACTTTATATGCATTATTCATCGACTACGAGAAAGCTTTTGTTTCTACCAAGAGACACTGCATATGGTTAGCCTTTAGAAGGACGGGAGTGCCACAAAAAATAATAATCATTATAAGAAAAAGCTACAAACAATCGAAATGCAGAGTGCTACATAACGGAAAGTTAAGTGACTCCTTTGACTCCTCCACTGGTGTTAAACAAGGCCGCATCCTATTACCATTGCTATTTATTGTAGTATTAGACTGAGTACTGAAAATATTTGATACTCAAAATAGAGGCATCAACTGAAGATATAACTCAACCCCTGAAGATCTAGAATATGCAGATGACATCGTCCTGCTCTCGCAAAATCACCAGCATATGCAGTCCAAACTGACCCAGTTGCGTAACGAAACCTCGAAAGTCGGTCTCAAAATAAATATAAGAAAAACTGAATCTATGCGCATTAAATCCAATAATACAATCTGCTTCACAATCGAATACAAAAAGCAAGAGGAGCTTTCGCAAGGCTACGAAATATATGGCGTACACACAACATTCACAACACAACATTCACACAAACACAAAAATAAAAATTTTTAATGCTTGCGTTAAGTCTGTCTTATTATACGGATCAGAAACTTGGCTTGTAACGAAGGAGACTAAAAAGACACTGCAAATGTTCATCAACCGAAACATAATGAAGATATGGGGCCAAGAATGATATGAAATGAAGAACTCTGGAGGCAAACTAACCAAACATCTATTAATGTTGAAATTCAAATGCAAAAATATAGGTAGATAGGCCATACCCTGCGCAAACCTTATGACGATATTCCGCACGCAGCGTTAACATGGAATCCCCAGGGAACCCAGCGTAGAAGCAGGCCAACAACAACATGACGAAGAACAGCTTATACCGAAACTGGCAAATCGTTTAACGAACTTTCGCAGATTTCGCAAAATAGGGATAGATGGAGATTATTTGTTGTATCCTCAAACTCCTAACGGAGTATGGAATGAATGAATGAAACTGATTGTATTTATATGGATTAAATTATGGTAGCAGCGAAAATTGCTTTTAACATTGATAATCATATCTCAGATAAAGAACTCTCTGTAGTGTCAACAATATGTTAGTTTGCTGGAGTTTGTTGTCACATTTCAACATAATTATTTCCAAGGCACAAAACCTTTCATTAGATTGGAACTAATCCAAACAGAATAATATCTGATATATAAAATAAACTTAAATATACCATGCAAACTGTGGTCTTATAACCTGTTTCAGTTCATTTGAATTGATAGGTTATAAAATAAAACACCATTTAATTCTCAGAGATATATGTAATATATGTAAGATATATATATATGATATATGTATATTCTTCAATTTGCTAATTTGGAACGCAATTTTTCATTGTTTTTTCTAATCGCGAAGAGATAAAAATAATATCAAATTTTATTTACTTCAGATTACGAATGCTTTTTATGTTTTGTGCAGTTGTAGTTCAAATGACGAGAACTGAAGTTTACAATTAATTGATTTTTAATAAAATATTAAATAATATCCATAATATATTTTATTTATGGTGGTGTTTTAAATGTCCAAGTGCGCCGAAGTGTTATATGATTTATTTTAAAAACAAAATAAAGTCTTTGTTTTTGTTAAATTTAATTCAATTTCTTTTTTGAGGATATAAAAATACAATGAAGTCAACGAGTAAAATGAATACAAAACAGTCTTATTATGAAAAAAACGCAGAATATTATATTGACTATCCACCAGAACTTCAACCAACATCGTGTGTACTTGCGAAGAATGGATGGTTCCAGCGTCACCAAAAATATAATCCGCAATTAATATGCTTAGGAGCAGGTAAACAACAAAAAAATTGGGATATTGTATATTGACTTCTTGCAATTTCAATATATTCGCTCGTTCAATAATGGCTTATAACTTGAAACTTCTTATTATATTATATATATGTGTTAAGTCACTTAATACTGCGACTGTAATCCTGTTACTCTCGTAAAACCTACACTAAACGTTTTGAAAAAGTTGGACGTGATCATATAAACGAAATATTAGACTAATATTTTTGTAGAAATTATTTTATTCCGAATTCTTTTATATATTATCATTTATCATTGTACAGTTGTCGATCAGTACTTAATTTAATGACTACTCAACTTAACGAATATATAAAAAATCAATACATACCATAAAGTATTAAAACACCCTATTTAAATAAATAGTTTACTAAAAACAACAACTCAACTATTAAAAACTATATTTCATGTATTAATATATTAGATTAGATTAGATTTTAAGATGGATTGGAAACTTGTCACCACGTCACTGCATCCTTTGAGGATTATTGTGACTTACCCACTTTAGTTCCATAGATGAATAGCAGTTAAGAACGCCATTATGTCCTTTGGAGAGATGTTGCCTAATTCTGTTATAATTGGATAGGCAGTGGATAAGTATCGAAGTCTGAGTCTCGCAAAACTATCGCAGTGACACAGAATGTGTTCTGCTGTTTCCTCTTCTTCGCAACAAAGTCTCCAGCTATCGTCTCTAGTAACACCTACGTTCGATATATGCTTATTTACTCCACAATGTTCAGTGAGTATTCCTGTGACAAGTCGGATGCCATTTCTGTTCAACATTAGAAGCTTCCTAGTTCTGGCTTTTTAACGATAAGGCATGGGTTTTTTGGCTTGTCTGCAGGCAATTGTATTAACCCAATCAGTCTGAGCTGCTCTTTCCAGCCACTCATTAATCATAATTTTGAAAAAGCTCCATGAAGGACCGCAGAATGGTTGTGGTCCAATATGAAGCCGCCCATTTTCTCGCAAGTTCATCTGCTTTTTCGTTTCCCTCAAATGCGCTGTACCCTGGGGTCCATATTAAATAAACCCTGTTCCTTTCAGCAAGGAATTTGATAAGTAGAAGACATTCCCACACTAGTTTTGAGGTTACTCCAAATGAGCGTAGTGCTAGGAGTGCCGATTTACTGTCAGAGAAGATATATTTGTTTTTCTGTGACAAGTTTCTCTTTATATATCTTAAGATATAGTTCAATTGCATGTACTTCAGACTGAAAAACAGAGTTTTCTTGACTCATACTCGCAAATATTTTCTTTTCTGGTTTAACTCCGTATACTCCCACCGCCACTCCTTCCATAGTTTTGAAGCCATCCGTGTACCACACAAGATCCATATGGATCTTATAGGTAATCTTCAATAAATAGAGGTATGTTCCGTTCCCATTCCTTTCTGATATTTTAATATGGTACATCTATTCGTTTTGTGAAATTTTTTGATTCAACGAAAGAACGTCATCATTATGTGAAATACCGTAATTAAACTGAACGCTTATTGTGTACTTCTTCATATTGTTTACTTCATTTGATTAGATTAGATTTAAAAAAATTATATTTGTTAACAATTCTAAGAATTAAAACACAAATAAATATTTAGTTTTATAGATTTTAACTATAAAATAAATTCATATATATATATGTATATATTCATATATATTTTGTTATAATTGCACAATGTTAAACACAAAAATATAACTAACTATAGAAAGTATAAAATGCAGGTAAACTGCAATAAACTAACATTTGATTAAGACCTTGAAGTAAAGATAAAATACTACAGATAGATTGTAAACTGACAAACTGGATAAAAATATGAAGATTACCCCATATGTGATGTAATAAAGTGATTGACACTAAACACTATTCGATATATATAATTTAATCAATTAAATATTTTGTAATATAACTTTTCGGCTTTTCGGGTTCCGATTCTTTTTGAGACACTTAATTCGAAGATTTGAATTTGTTTAGATAGTGTGTACATATCACAGGATTAATTGAAATTGAGTTAAACATCTGAAGAAATACTCTATATGAGAGACTACTGCAAAAATATGTCAAAAAATTTGTGGGGCTTACGATAAGGATGGAATGAGTGATCGCTGGGCCTAGAAATGTTCAAATATACATTCTTGTCGCCCAGGTCTAAAAAACGTGGATGAAAATTTACAATGAGTAAATTTTCTTCTTTGATAAATCAAAACAAAGATCTTTTGGAAAGATCTGATATATCTACCGTATAATTTGGAGCTTGCACCATCGGACTATCACTTGTTTTGGTTTCTGCGGAAATCACTTAATAGTAAGAAATTGGCTGACCGCAGACTAACTGAAAATTACTTGGCCAAGTTTTTCACTGTTAAACCACAAAAGTTCAATACTGATGGAATTATGAATCTACCCGAAAAATGGCAAATGTTTGTAAACAATAATTCCCTCTTGTTCCTAATCTTCTGTTTTTCTTAAAGAACAAGAGATTGGTCATTGATCGGGGGATATTTAGCAAAACATTTCAATGATTGATTATCAATTTAGTGACTGTTAGAGGAAATGAACCATTGAACCATATGAACCATATGATCAATGTACTAATTTTTATGGACCTACATGACAACATTCTTAAATTTTTAACTTTAGCGGCGAATAAGACATAACACATCATTTTACCCGATATGTTAAAATCATTTGCATATAAATACTTGGAACTTGCGAAATCTTTCTACGGCGCATCACTGGTACTTATTTCACATAATTATGTTTTATGGATGTAAACTATAGTTCGATATTAAAAATTAATTTTTATTTATATACATATATACATATAGTTATGAAATATATGGTACCCATATACCCATATCTGACATATATAATACATTTCCATTTTATTACAGCCGCGCTTGTACTAATGTCAGGATGCATGCAAATAGCGTATAATTTCCTGTTGCCAGAAAAATATCTTGGTCTCTCTTGGTTTATTGGCGGAATTATTGGAACGGTGTTTAGTGCAATTGTCTGTAGCTATATTAACAAGAAAATATTATATGTGAGTTATATTTTAATTGATTTAATCATACTTCATAATTAAGTGGTATTGTTTTCGCATACTTTCAGCGTTTGCAATCTCTCTTGGTGGCATTGCTAGTGGACTACTATTTATACCTTTATTGGTGTTGGCTGGAGAGGAATCAGTAAAGAGGTCGCGTGGCATGATAGCTTCATCCGTTGAAGCAATGCCTTTCGCATTGGGCATGTACTTATGCTCTATATTTAATACGAAAAGGGGATTTTATTCAGATTGAGCATATAGTATGTTGCAATTGATAGAAGTACTAAGCATTGCTTGTGGTGTTCTTGCATTCATAATAGTTTTCTTTTTATACATAGAATCACCAGTATTTTACTTAGTTCGTAATGAAGAAAATCAAGCATTTGATTCTTTACGCCGTCTCCAACGTCCATTTGTGACAATATATGAAACTTATCAACAACTGGAAGAACACAAAGCATATGTAGCACATAACAAAAAAATGTCACTTGGAGTTAGTATAGTTTCTGGTTTACCAGCTCTATTGAAGCTGTGTATATATCGTGGTTTGGTTGCATTGAGTTATTCATATTTAACTACTTATGCTTTTCGCTTTGCTTCAAGTATGACTTATTCCGTTGAAGTGTGGACTTTTATATTCATGGGCCCTCTACGTATTCATAATAGATTATATTGGACGTAAAAAACCTATGTTGTTCGGTTCTCTAATATGTGGAGGAATTGCAATTGGAATAGCTTTACAATTTGATACTCACGTCCTTGATTGGCAAAACGACGATAGAATGACAACAGTTTTATACTTATTCTTCGTATTCCAGTTCTTCGTTGGAGTCTTCATTGGTCCTTCTTCGGCATATTTAAGTGAAGCATTTCCATTAGCTGTTAAACCAATTTTCATAGGAATTGCTTTCATTGTTGAAATATTGGTGCAAATTATTTGTATACTTCCTTCTGATTACCATTCTGATCACCATATCGAGAATATACTTGCTTCTGATATTCCCATTTTTTTCTATGCCACTGCATCAATCTTCTTTGTTTTCTTTTTCATTGGATTGTTGACGTTACCAGAAACAAAACAAGATACTTTGCTTGAAGCACAAATAAAATTTAGAAAATTTCGCTAGATAAAAATATATCCAATACAATACACACATAACACATATCTATTAATCTTTACACTAAGATTACGAATCTTCTTCGTAACTGATTTTGAGATGAATAATAACTTGAGAGACAATATCATTAAGTAAAATTGGAATTAATAAATTTAAAAACGAATTGATGGATAGTTTTTTATTCTTCTACAAAACTTTATTAGTCTAATCGAATTGTTTTATAAAGTGGAATGTTATGACACGTTGCAAATTCACAATATTTGTATCAAGTACTTTATATATATATCTATAGTTAGGGAGCATATATTAGTATTATAATGGGCTATAAAATTTCATAATAAGTGAAAGAAAGCAGTAGTAGAAACAATAAACAGGCATATAGAAGCGCAACATCGATGATTATTGAAAGCAAACTACACGAAGAAGCTTTGTTCGAAATAAAAAATGCAATTAGAACAATCTGTGAAGATTCACAAATATCATATCCAATATGCGAATGTACTTTGATAGTCACACGTTTAATGTATGAGAATATATATATCACACAGTCGCTTAAAAGAAGCTGTTTGGAGCAGTTTGGATAGTAGAATACTTTTTTGTCATTAAAAGTAACCGGATAGAACCCTATAGAATCCAGGAATGTATTTTCAAAGATAAAGAAAAGAAAAGAAAAGAAAATAAAAGAAAAGAAGAGAAAAGAAAAGAAAAGAAAAGAAAAGAGAAGAAAAGAAAAGAAAAGAAAAGAAAAGAAAAGAAGAGAAAAGAAAAGAAAAGAAAAAAAAAGAAAAGAAAAGAAAGAAAAGAAAAGAAAAGACGAAAAAAAAAAGAGAAGAGAAGAGAAGAGAAGAGAAGAGAAGAGAAGAGAAGAGAAGAGAAGAGAAGAGAAGAGAAGAGAAGAGAAGAGAAGAAAAGAGAAGAGAAGAGAAGAGAAGAGAAGAGAAGAGAAGAGAAGAGAAGAAAGAGAAGAGAAGAGAAGAGAAGAGAAGAAGAGAAGAGAAGAGAAGAGAAGAGAAGAGAAGAGAAGAGAAGAGAAGAGAAGAGAAGAGAAGAGAAGAGAAGAGAAGAGAAGAGAAGAGAAGAGAAGAGAAAAGACAAGGAAAGACAAGGAAAGACAAGGAAAGACAAGGAAGGACAAGGAAGGACAAGGAAAGACAAGGAAAGACAAGGAAAGACAAGGAAAGACAAGCAAAGACAAAGAAAGACAAGGAAAGACAAGGAAAGACAAGGAAAGACAAGGAAAGACAAGGAAAGACAAGGAAAGACAAGGAAAGACAAGGAAGGACAAGGAAAGACAAGGAAAGACAAGAAAAAACAAGAAAAGACAAGAAAAGACAAGAATAAATAAATATTAGATTTATTTAACAATTATGAGCTCTACAATCATCATACAACAGAACACATCAGCAAAATTATCCATTTAAAATTTTCATCCCAAAAAGTGATCAACTGCAGTAATTGAAATCCTTGTAAAACTGCGATTGACTCCCACAGGTTTCGTATATATAGAATAAGTTAAATCATAACAGTCAAAAAAAAAATGAGTCACTAATATACATGTAAAGTGTAGTGGAGCTAAGTTATGTTCTAAATAAACAAGATATAACCTACTTTTAGGAGACCTGAAAATAGGCTATAAACTTTGGATATGAAATCGTTGGTATTTTATGGATGGATCTTTTCAAAAATGTAAACTATGTAGGCCTTATAATTGCCCACATAATGGCGAATCAACAGATTGCATATAAGTATGATATCTAAAACCAAAAACACAAAAACAGTGATACTTATTCTTTGAATAACCGCTGTAAATGGAATCCATACGTAGAATCTATACGACATTTGTCGACTATGAACCATACGTGTTTACACACTAAACAATTAAAGAAGAACAATTAATGCCTATATATATAATGTATTAATGTCTTATATCAATGTTCCGTACATTGGCCTTTCGATGGCAAAAAAATCACCATTTAACAGAATTACCAAGTTCTGTACTTTATTATACATAAGTTGTGATAAAAACATGAATTAGAATGCATCAAAGTAATTTGGTTTATTACTGACATTTTAAAAATTAAGAAATTATTATTTTTAATAAGATGGAAAGTTTAGAATAGAAATCAAGAAAAAAGAATCCAAAGAAACATATATAATGGATAGTGAGTTTCTAGATGAAATCCCACAGTATAATTATTGCTGTGACGATTCGCTATTGATCGCAATGCAAAAGAATAAACCACAATTTATCTCACTGGGAGCAGGTAAGCAATAATATATTTTTAGTGATAAAATTATACAATAAAATTAATTTTGATTTCATATATTTTAATAGTTCTATATAATTAAATTGATTAAATTGGTAAATAATACCGTATTTGAAAAAACTTAACTTTTACTTAACACTGCAATATCATAGACATTTAATTTTTTACCAGGTCCCAACAATTTAATTCAAAATATGAAATTCTAAAAAAGCTTATATTAAAATGTTGAGGATATGCAGTAAATATCATATCGCTGATAAATATTATACCCATATAAATATACTAAAGAATCACAGTCTCTTTTGCAACAAATATGTGAAAGAAGTCAGCTAGTAATATCATTACAGCAATACAATAATTGAAAGAACTAATTAGGTTATACGTTATACGGGCAATTCCAAGAGATCCACTTAGACCTATAGATCCATTACTGAACTAATTTTCAAACTACTAGTAATGCCTCTCGATTTCGAAGTAGAATTCTGAGCTTCAAATAACACATAGTAAGGTTTAGAATAGAAAATTTTTTTTATTACAGGTACAGTTAAACGCGCCATCTGGTTGTTTTTAGATCTATTTTGTATTTTCAACCTAAAGCTAAATATCTCGAAAAGTGATCTACTACAGCGGAATAGAAAAACCTAATCAAAAAATAGTTTAGCAATTTTTTCAGGTTTTGATTCATTCATTAAAGTACTCAAGAGACCGTCGAGCTCCATACAAGCATTAACAGAAACAGATCAGTCCACCGATCTTGATAATATTTTCAAGGTATATGCAGCAAATATCTTGTTAAACATTGCAGATATTTTTGATCATACAAGAACAGCATGGTACCGATAAGTATGCTTTGAAATTAATTGAATGGTTCAGTCGTGCATTGAATATGGTATGATGCATCTATTGCATAGCATTAGGCTCAACCTATGAAGAGGTTCTTATAAGAATCTGTGGAAACTTTTTTTTGTGTAGAAACTGCTATTAATACTTTATCTAAAAATTTTGTTTTCTAATCTATTCTCACAGTGTAGATGTAAATACATTTCAAATTTTACTAATCTTGGACGATAAGCAATTTAATTGGAATTAAATTATTGTAAACAATTTGATATGTAGAGCTACCAGAGTTTTGTAATGAAATTACAAATTTTCAAATGTTTTTTCCTATAAACATCTAAAGAAAATCGGAGTGAAATATGACTGCAACCCGATGCTGTGTCCGATACACAGCGTAAGTTCCTTTAACATTAAAATTAAAAACTAACTAAACTGAAAAAATTTGTCTATTTTCAAAAAAATGTCAATAAATTATTCCGAAGTAATAAGAAAAGCTTTTCTAATCGCAGTAGCAGTCCAAAAATTTATTTCCGAATCCTATAAACACATCATTTCAGTTCTTATGATCAATTTATATTATATTCATTTAGGTTTAATGTTTTTGAGAACTTTTCTTGAAAATTACTAGCCAAATAAAAACCATTAGTAGGTGGAATGCGTTATACACCGTCGAACCGACCGGAATGGAATGGTGTGTCTAACATTAAAATGTAGTATACGGACTAAAAACACTCCCTTTTTGACGAAACTTATTCTCCCTCGGAACAGCTTTCGCATTACTTCGAGGAGGGTAGCTTTTATGTTGGCATTTTAAGCTACGCTCTCGTGATTTTCAGTCTGCATCCAGGCCCTCACTTTTTCACCGCATTTTCTTGGTGTCTGCACTATTTATTATTCCAGTTTCTGGTTCTTCTTTCTAGGCCTAATTTCTTCGATGGAAGTAGACTTTACTGATGGAAGCTATAAGAATAATTCTACTTGAATATAACATCAACTCCACCTTTTTCGTTTAATTAAATATTATTATTTGATTGTAAGTCTTGTTATCAATAAATTGAATAGCACTCATTCACCACATATCATTACAAAACTTTTTTTAAAATAAAAATTTTCTGTATTAGAAGGCAAAAGAAAATCAGTCTTTAAAATACGATAATAATACGATAAATGAGAAGAGATCGGCACAATTTAAAATTTCCTCCATTTAGAACGCAACTTAGCCTAACTCGCACACGTCCTAAATATCAAAATTATTAACAATTCTCATACGGTTTAAAAAGGTATAATATTCGTTTCATGTATAATTGAGGTGAATTTAAAATTAGTGTGGTGAGAAAAATGTTTTTTATTTTTATTTTTCTTTTTTTTTGTAAACACAGAATAGAACTGTTAGCATTTTTAATAAATTTTGTTTTTGTTTTTATATAACGAAAATATTTTTAAATTATTAACATTTTATTTTACAGCCACACTAATTTTGATGTCCGGAGGTATGCATTTATCACTGAGTTTTGCAATACCTGATCCGTTCCTTTGCGTTTATTGGTTTAAAGGGAGTATTATTGGTGCTTTAATAGGAATTATTTGTTGTCAAATTGTTAAGAAAAAAAAATTTATTGTAAGTTAAATTAAGTCTGAGTTTTTCACATTTTTTATTTACATAATTTCAGCTAACCTCATCACTTTTAATCATAATTGATGGGATACTTTTAGCATCACTCTCAGAAGACAATTACGGCGTTATATTGGCACGTTTTATTAATGGCATAGCAAGTGGACTAACGTTTGTCCCGTTATTGATATTGGCGAGCGAAGAATCAGTATGTAACAAACGTGGCTTGTTAGTGACAACAGTTGAAACGATGTCTATCTCATTAGGCATCTTCTTATATCTATTCATATATTTCGTATGGACGAAACTTCCACATCCACCTATACATTTGATCCAAATGCTTGGCTTGCTAAATATTGTTCAAGGCGTGATTGCATTAATAGTACAATGGTTTTTTTATGTGGAATCGCCTATGTTTTATTTAGTTCGCGAGGAAGAAAATGAAGCAATGGATTCTTTGCGTCGTTTACAATATCCATTTGTGATAACCAGCAAAACTCATCAACAACTGAAAGAGCACAAACAATATATAGCACACAATAAAGAACTAACATGTGTGTCGAGTCTCGTATCTAGTTTACCAGCTCTATTAGTACTCTGTCTATATCGTAGTTTGGTTGCTTTAAATTATTCAAAACCGTTTTATTATGTGATGTTTTTTTGTTCAACTGTTCTTTATGGTACCGAAGTATGGGCTTTTGTGATTATGGGTACTTTACGTTGCATGGGAATATTTCTTAATATGTATATGATAGACACATTTGGACGTAGACAACCGATGCTATTCGGTTCTATTGTATGTGGAAGTTTATCAGTTGTAATAGGCATGATGTTTGATCAATTCCCGGAAATGATTTTCCGTCACAGAATGAGTATAATTGTATACTTAATGTTGATGATTCAGTTCTTTACCGGAATATTCATTGGTTCGTCTTCGGTGTATCTGAGTGAAGCATTTCCTTTGGAAATTAAACCAGTTTTCATTGGAATTACTTTTATAGTTGAAATGTTGGTGCAAGTAAATTATATAGTTACTTTTGATTTCATTAACTCTTCCTGTTATTTCTATTCCACTGCGATAACCTGTCTCGGGTTTTTTTTCATTGGATTGCTGTTATTGCCGGAAACAAAACGGAATACTCTGCGTGAGGCTCAAATAAAATTCAACTTACTTTCTTAAATGACATTAAACTAAAGCTCTGTTTCTCCATTTGTGTTTCATACCGTTTATAAAAAATAATTCTATTTGATATATTTTGTGAATAAATTCTTTTGAACATTAATTAATTTAATTATGTTGAAGCTTTTTGAGCCAGTGTACTTGATAGTTTATTGTTATAAGTGATTATTACTTATTATTTGACATTTAAGAATGGATTATAACGTTTTCTGTCCATCTTTCAGTATATCTTTTCATGTCTTCAGGCTATGGATCTAAGGATTTATATTGGATAAGCAGAAATTGAACTTTTGCTTAACCATTTGACAACAGATTATAGCAGAGTTTACTTATCATTGGTGATCTTCATGTTTTATAAATACGCTTTATGTAAACAAATTATATATTAGCATTTCCAATAAAATTTTTTCAGATCGATGTATATAGTGTATTGCATATATTTTTTTTGTCCTATATTTTGGTGGAGACAAACTATAAGTTATCTCAATATAATCAAGCATAATATATTGAAAATATATTTTTATATTTGTTTTATCGGAACAAAATGTTTTTAAATTTTATGAATAATTGATAAGATAAGAATTTATAAAAAAAACTCGAATTGAAAGTGAAAATTAAAAGATAATCAAGGCAGTTAAATATATTTCAATTATATACTTATGTATGTAATTAGTACTTACGCTAACAGATTGCAAAACATGAATTATTATGACTTAAAAAAATCCAAATTACTTGGAGTCAACCCATTAATTGACCTAATTCTCTACACATTTTTAATAGACTGATTGAGATACAGTATTGAACTTCTCAGCAATTTATTTTTAATAAATAAGCTTTAGAAGATTAATAAGCCTTCTTCAAATAGTGACCATATATGGTGAGTACAGTAGTATGAATAAATGCTTCAACAGTTCAATGTGTTTGAACTTGCTTGCCCCAAAACTTTTTCAGCGATCAGATTCACTGTACTCGATATCATTCACAAAGATCGTGTGATTGGATTCTTTCCATATGCTTGCATCTTCATATAAAACACTACATATACTCAAGAGTAAGCTTTTGGAAGATGTTTGGAAAAAACGATTTAACACACGTTTCTTTTGAAATTATTCGTAAATGAAATAAATGTTGGAAGGAAGTATTTGAGAGTGAATACATATTTCATTAATATTAAACTCTATTGTTAAAGTATAATCAGTTTTGCTGAAAAAGCAAAGCTTTCTTATAATGATAAAGAAGCTTCTTTTTTTTTAAATAGCAAAGAAAGAAAAGACAAACACAAAGATTTCGTTAATTAATTGAAATTTGGATTACCACACAACGTTATTTCGACTTTTGCCAAGTACTCTTCATCGATAGTCTTAGAAAATAATCCAATTTTGAAATCACATTTCCAGCTGATTGCTCATCAACTCGAAACAATAATATAAACACTAAATCAACTTTAGCAAAGTTTATTGACTAAAGTTTGTAATGTGAACATAGTATAAAAGTGAATCTCAATTCAAAAATGTACCCCTGATTTTCTAATCGAAAACTACATTATACTATACGATAAAACTAACAAAAGTTTGCTTAATTGGCAATGCGGATTTCATACACCCAGCTGATTTGAAATAGTTTTACGATATTTCATTTAAAGTTTTACAGCAAACAATCAAAGTGGACATAAGAAAATGCTAACTTAACAACACTGGTAAAAATTTTACCTTTATTGCAATAAGAAATTCAGTAAGCTATTACGAATTTCGGAGTAAGCCTAAGTTTATCGAGATATATAATGTATGCATATGGAGCGAATGCTCGATCGCGTGTTACCGTCTTCATGTGGTTTTGGAAAGTCTAAACGGGACATTTTGCTGAGAAGAACGAATCTCACCAATGGCTTTCAAAGTTTTTGACTAGGATTGTAAGCGATCTTCTTGTAAACTTCAAAATTAATAAGAATGAAAGATTAACCGCAGAACTGATTGCTGATAAGCTGTTAAATGACATTATGTTATGAATTTTAAGCAATCATATTGAATACACAAAAAAAAAGCAGCAAGCAATTGTCCAGAACTCAGAGATGGTAATCCACCTGTTAAAGCCAGTCAAAAGAAGTGAAAAACAAAAGTTATGATGTAAATTAATTTCCACGGAGGTTAAGCTCTAGATGTTATTTTTATGTAGATTAGGCAGATGGTTACTATTAAATTATACATAGAAATCTGCCTACCACAAGTTTTAAAATATACCCTTAAAAACCAGAAGAAACTGCTCCATATTTTTCAGCATCACGATAAACGCCTGCTCACATTGCTAAAAAGTGAACAACTTTATTGCGCTATCTGAGATTTTGAGAAATAAATCCATCCACACCGTATTCCCCTACCGAACCAATTGCCTTTTGATATTTAGTTGCTTTCAAATAAAACAATGTGTTTGTGTACATTCATTATATTATATATAATGTAAATGCAAATATAATATATATAATGTATATATAATGTAAATATTTACTAGCCGCGCATATTTATTTAACATTCCGTTCCCACATTCCGTTGCAATACTTTTGCTATTGAAAAATGATATCTTTCTGATAACAACGACAAGTAGACCGTTCAGCACTAAATTTAAAAGCTGAGAGAACAAATTCTACATACATGAATTGGAACACCCAACATGTGAGTAAATTTAATATACAAAACAACAAGCCAAAATTATGCGATGACAGAACTGTATGGGTATTCAAACGAACAACGTTAGTAATAGAAAGATATTAAGGGCTCCATCTAAGAAGAGAAGAGATTGATTTCTTGCCTTTAGAAGTAATTCTAATAATTTTTTATTTTGCAATAGTTGATATATTTTAAAAAAATGTTGAACTATTAAAAATAAAGCGAATTATTTTTACTATGCTGAGTGGTACTTTAATTTACACAAAGTATTAAAATATATACAGATAATGCCCGAACTGTACTGTAACTATGTTAACTTAAAACTACATAAACTTCTAAACTGTTGAGAACACCGCTTTTATATATTGCTACAATGATAAGCATGCCGAAGTACTTGTGTCTCAATATAATAGTTTTATCGGTGACGGAATTTAACTGTTATAGTGTAATCGCACTATAGGTATGTGAGAGAAGCAATTAGTGGGTATTCGTGAGTTCAGTACCTCAATAGACTAAATGTTTCGTGTCATGAGCCATAGCACGTCATACCTTGTATAATTAACAATTTAAATTGTTTTCTATTTTTTTTTATTATTTACGAAACCAATTGAAAGTTGCTTAATCTTACTACAGATGATAAGAATTCATATTCTCCAATATATAATATATAATAATATATAAAGCAAAGTATATCACGCCTTTTAATGGCCATCTATCAATATAATCACTACTTTGTGTCTTTTAATATTAAATATAATGCTCAAGTGCATAATAATAATGCACTTTGTAAATTATTAAATTTATATTTAAGCTTATATTTAATTTACGATATTATACAGAAGTCAAGTACATCTCAAAGCTCCAATTCTTCAAATCTTTTTCGAATATTTAAAGCTACGTATTATAAATGACGTACTTGGTATTTACTTTTAAAGCAGAAATCAGGAAGGCGTCTTACATGATTCAAGGGTCCAGGTTGTAAAACTATTTCCATAGATGCTTCGATGCTTAGATGCTTGGTTTAATAACCTATTAATTTCTTTGACAATATAAAATTTAATACAATTTCACTAAAATCAAAATATAGTGGCATTTTCAATTACTTCGCATCTAAAGAAACAATCAAGCAACCAATTGATAAACATAGAAATGTACTGTTTACATTTTCAAGGTGTATTGGTAACCAAAAAATAGTTTTTAAGTCTCAAATACTTCAATTGTGTTTGTAAAAACTGCTACTCATGTAAAAGTGAACCTCACATTTTTTACTTCAGGTATACCTGAATAATTATTACCTGTAAGCGAGTCGAATATAAATTTTTGTTGTGATAATTTCAACTCTTCTACTATGAAAGGCAGGCTCTATACTGTCTTTCATTAAGGAAATCGGGCTTGGAAAAACACTTTAACCCGAGTAAGGGGCACAATATACCTTTTAGGTCGCAGTGTACAATCCCTTCTTTTTAATAATAATATAAGTATGTATTTCATTTGTATTTTATAATTTATTTTTATATCTTTAATTGGAGATGGTTGGCCCAGATAGATCCGAGCTAAGTCTTTGACTGTCTTTATATTGGAAAAATTATCAACTGAAAGAAAACAACCCTGTATAACCCTGTGTATTTAATTTTAAGATTATTTATTTAATGTGTGCATATATATTAATCTTTATACAATATAAAATATGCATATCAAATTATATTTATTAAATCTTAAATAATAAATATAATTGTATGGTTAATAGACAAATTATTTCTACGTACATAAAAAAAGGTTTGTAATTAAATAAATTTTTTAATTCAATTTATTTTTTATTATTTATTAGTACTTTTGTACGTTATATTTATTTTAAGGTAAACTTTATTCCTAACAGTTGAGTATAAAAATTATAATAATTAAAAATGTAAAAAATCAACGCTTTTAATGACAGCAAAAGTCTGCGTCCAAAACATAAAAAGGGGAATTCCCGAAATAAAATCGTTCAGAAGACCTTAATACGTATTTTTAATACGATCGCTTACACTTTTTACTCCAAGGTACATGTACATATGTATGTAATTGAAGGAAGATATGATATCAGAAGAAATCAAACGTCTTGGCTACCCAATATTAAAGACTGAACTTGGCTTAGAACTATAGGGCAGTCAATGAAAGTTACTCGAAATAAAGAATGCTATGTACCATATACTACACTATATTCTATATACTAAATGTATACTATGTAGTTAATTGTTTAAGTATACATACAAACAAACAACGATAAACAAATTGCAATGTGATTCATTTTTATTTTTTATAGCTGCAATTTAGGTTTGTATTCTTAGAAGAGCAAGTTATCAGTTTATAGTAACTGAAAAATATATACACAAAAAAAAAATTTGATCAGTTTGAAAAATATATATAAAAACTTAAAGTGTATAAAAATTTCATTCAAAAATAACAAT